TTTCCTTCTTTCTTGTTTTATTTTATTCATTTAAAGATGTTCAAATTTTATTCATGACTAGCTTCGCAAAGTAAGATATATTCACTACTTGAAATATTTGAAACAAAAATTTAAATGAACATTTCAGTCATAAATTGACTTGTTATAGGTAAGGAAAGTTTTACAAATAGATGCCAACTTGTTGGAGATATACAGTTCTGATGATATGAAGATAATTAATGCAGATACGTCTCGCCTATAAATTACTATAAATTAGTGATGGAGCTTTTTATGCCCCAAATTCTTTGGACAATTGAGCACCAATTTTGTATTTATTCATATAGATTCCATAATATAGGTTTTAATTAATTAGCTATTATTTTTCCTTAACTCATCAAATATAGAATGTATAACTAATACTAATATTGCTTGAGCGCAACTTACTTCTCACCGATGGGATATAGAGGGAATGTGAATAGTTTGCTACTATGTGAGTGGCAGGGCGAATCCTAGCTGTGACGAATAGACCTGGCGAAACCAAGGAATGGTAATTGCAATAGAGAGACTCGTCGCGTCCTACCTGTGAGATCGAGGTTGGAGACTGGAAAATAATTATTCTCTAACAAGGACTCGGGGACGCTTTTGAAATCTATCGAGACTGGAACATGAGGACTGAGTCTCCCTATCAAATATGACAACAGTGCTCCATTTTCAGCCTGATCTGGCTCTTATAAAGGTAGAGATAAGCATGAGGAATTAGTACTTGCTGGAGTGTGTGCCGCTCCAGCAAGTACTAATTCAGGGAGCTGCATTTTTAGCGATGAATCACATATATGTGTTCCACTTGAGGTCGGGTGTGAGTGTGAAACTCAATATTCTCTTAAGGCACGGAGCCTCCTAGAAGGAACATCCATTCATCATGATTGGCGGTGATGGAAGTTAACCAGTTTGGTTTTCGAGACATTGAATGTAACCAATCAGTTTTTTTTTCCTCATTAAGAAGTTTGTGTTTGATCGCAACATTGGTCAGCTGCTAATCATCGTCAAGTTTCAGAGGTACGCCCGCACATCGTCGTGTCATCGGCATAGATATTTACAGATGATCGGAGTGTATTCTTAGGCAGATCATTTATGTAAATCAGAAAGAGGCTTGATCCGACTAGTGACTCCTCAAGGACACCTGTGTTGACCCCCAGGCCCTCGGAGGTCAGAACCGTTAATAACTACCTTCAAATATCTACCAGTTAGGAAGAATTTTATAATTGAGCAAACCCTTCTATCTATCTATCTATCTATCTATCTATCTATCTATCTGTTCCGTTTCCTCATATACGTGTTTGGTCATTTAGAAAGAATCCTCAGAAAATTTAATACTTATATGAAGGCAATTGTATCAGACGTAAGATCTACTTGAATGCTTTGTCCAAATGACTGAAGAACATGTACTATAAAAAAGAAGGGTTATAACGAATCAAGCATCGCTGAGAGCGACAACTGAAAGACAACAGCAGAAGGTCAAGAGCGCCTTCATTCGAAAGAGAAGGAGAGAAAAAGAAAGAGAATGTAAAATTAAAGAGGGAAAAGAAACATTATTATGAATAATCCTCCAGAATTTTTTTTTTTTTAGTTTCGTTATTTTAATCACGGTGACATTTAGATAATATCTAGACAGACACATTTTATAAAACAAAGAGATTGATAGTCAGGGATCGAGTGCGTGAGGGAAAGGCAGCGAAACAGAGTGAGAAAGAAAGGTCGTGGAACATAAACTGAAAGATAGTGTAAGATTAAAACCCAAGTAATGATAAAATAGAAGGATCCGAATTATTGTAACACTTAACGCCAACTCAAAATTATGTACATTTAAAATTACTCAATAATTTCCTTCCATTCTGGAGTCAGTTTGAATCATGCACAATATTTTATCTTTTAAGTTTCTATCATTATTTAATGAAAAATGTTATAAAAATATGTCGACATTCCCAATAATTCAAGTATCAGCGGGAAATTTTCAGATTAAACGACGTTTTTAATCTGGCTTTTTGCTTTCTAGTGTTTAACATTAAAGCAAAGGTTTCCCGGTTTATAGAACTGCAAAAACATTATAATAAATCGTCAGGATTAGCAAAAGAATTATTACAGGAATTTTGATTTAAAAATTTTCCAAATCCCAAACCTAATACTAAAATATATATATTTTAAATTGTTTTTTAGTTATAATATTTCCTTCTAAATCTAGGTTTCATTTAAATTCTTGTTATTTATCTGAATTTCTGAAATATGATATTTTATGTTGATGAGTTAAGATACGTGTCCTACTCATGCTTTCTGTTCGAAAAGAGTGTTTCTAGGATTTGTACGAGAATATATATATATATATATATATATATATATATATATATATATATATATATATATATCGTACAACTTGTAAACTATGCAATATAGGGCGCTTGACTTTTAAATCTAAGACATGGATTAATCTTAAAACGAGTCATTCTGCATAACAACATATGTGACGCGGACTGTCTGCTATACTTCTTTAGGATAGGAGGTATGTATCGTAGACACTTAGATATTCGGGAGATATTCCACTATGACAGAGACTGAAATGTACATTGATCGCAGCAGGCTTCGCTGGGCAGTTCTCATCATCGTCATGAAGAGAGAGAAGAATACACAAGCAAATGATATACTGCGAGTTCCTTTATGGAACTAGACTCCACCATAAAGGAAGCAAATACTTCAAGAACTGTTTTAAAGACCCTACTTCAGTCTGCCATATAAAATATTCTGAGTGGGAGATAGTGGCCTGTGATCGATATAACTGGCGGCGTACAATTCATGATGACACTAAAACCTTCTAAAATCATGAAATTTACTTGTCCAAATGTCGTGCATGCTGCTAGGAAAGGGGAAATCATTGATTCAGCAAACCACCAATTTATATGTAAAGAATGTGGCAGCGTATCTCTGTCTAATGTTAACCTCGTTATATGTCACATTGACAAATTAGGATCAGCACTCCGGTGATAAAAAAAAAAAAAAAAAAATAAACATCAAGTGTGTGTCAAAAAGTCTGCAGTAACGGCTCCGGTTTTACCCGTCACACGAGCAAACTTTGCAAAGCTGTCAAGACCGTATGCAGAACAATTTAGTTTATCACATCTTCAGCGATCACTGCAAATCTTTTTCTGGCGATCTTACTGTAACTAGAATCATTGATAAAACTTGTCAGCGATGGTTATACACGCTTAACGAATCGACGAATATATATATATATATATATATATATATATATATATATATATATATATATATATATCTGATATAATAGGAATTAAGATTATTTTAGGTTAATGATCATTTTCACTTTTACATTGAACTGAAATATACATAGATTTTTCAAAGCAGTCAATGTATGAAAAATATTAAAATATATATATATATATATATATATATATATATATATATATATATATATATATAAAGAGGTTTTAGTAGTTCCAACGACGAGAGAAAAGTGTGTATATTAAAAAATAAGAGAGAAACCCCAAACGTTGTAATATGAATTTTTTTAAAAAATATATTTCCAGAATTTTGCTACACGTGTTTCTGGTCTCGCGACCGTCATCAGGAAAAGCGTGGAGATTTCCGCATATTATTAAAATACATGCACGCACGCTCACATGCGGGTGTTTGGGGGGATGAATGTATATATATATATATATATATATATATATATATATATATATATATATATATATAGTTAAATTGCTTTAGATCAATTAACCAGAAAAAAAGGTCAGACAGAAGCGTCTATCTTTTAAAATTTGGATGTTTTTTAATGTAACTATAACAGCAAAAACATTTCGATTACATTTTTGCCTTGAAAATGTAGGAAAACGAAACGCGTCGGCAATATCTAAGGTTTTTTTACAATTGTCATATATATGTATATCTGTGTATGTGTGTGTGTGTGTGTGTACTGATTCTATCTAACTTGGGAAGTATGTGAATGTACGTATGTGTATATGTGTGTGTGTATATACTGATTCCTTGTAATGGGACGGTATGTGTGTGTGTGTTTTTGCGTGTTTGTGCGTTTGTGTGTGTGTGTGTCTGTGTGTGGGCGTGTACAGATGTGTTCACTGATTCCTCGTAGTGAGACAGTGTGTATGTATGGGAGGGGATATAAGCATATATACACGCATGCTGACAAAAGCACACGAAAATGGAAAATAGATCTAAGAACACACAGGGGTCGTTAAAAAATAAGCATGCCGATAACTACTCCATCATTTCTCGAACCAATCATAATTGTTTTATAAGCCTTCACACACAACTCTTCACTGCCAGTTCAAGAAAGACGTTTGGATCATTAACACAAAAAAGAGAATGTCTCATATCGAGAATATTTAACATCGAAAAACATAAAGGAGAAAAAAATAATTATTTTTAATAATATGTGGAAATATCTACCCTTTGCCTGATGACGGTTGCAAGACCGGAAACACATGTAGCAAAATTATGGGAGATAAAACATAATATAGTTCTTTTAAATCTACGTTACAAACAAAAACGTTTGCGGTTTCTCTCTTCTTTTTAACATACAGACTTTTATCTCGTTGGAACTACTATAACCTCTGCCTTATATATATATATATATATATATATATATATATATATATATCGTTATATAAGCATGCTTTCAGCGAATTACACGAAACCCATCATAATATCGCCTCGGAATAAAATATTGGCAACACTTGACTTAGCGCCGTAAATAATAAATAAATAAAATGAAATAAAATATTATAAACTATCTCAAGGCTGTTTCAGGGCATCATAGATAAGAGCATGAAACTGCATTCGAGGCGGGTTATTTGGACGAATACTATATAGGATATTTAAAAGTGAAAACGATAGATCTTTGTTCGATTAGACATGCATGGGAAAATGCTGTTTGCTCTAGGCTTGCTTAGAAGCAAATGTTTCTTTATGGTCGAATTGGCTCGAAATCAGAGGCTATAAAATCGATAGTGCAGATTTTGTTCGGGGTGGTTTTTATTAACTGTGAATGAAGAGAGGACAATGAGGGAGTTATCCAAAGTCGGGGGGGGGCGTATTATGAAGGGCGAAGTAAAGAAAAAAAAGATGTAAAAAATGAGAAAGCAAAAAATGAAAGGTTGAGGAACTAAGAAAATGAAAAATAAATGTGTCGGAAGTAATAACAAAAAGTAAAGGAAAGAAAGAAAAAAAGAAAAATGAAATAAAGGTGTCGACAATAAAAAAAAAGCGGTAAAAAGAAAGAAATGACAAGAAAGGAAAGAAATAAATAAAAAGAAAAGAAAGAATGAAATGTGTTGGAAATAAAAAAAAAATGGGGAAAAATTAAAGAAATAGAAAAGAAAAGAAAAAGAGAATAAGAAAATAAGAATAAAAATCAATAAAATGACAAATAAGTAAATTTGAACTGCAGAAAATAAAGATAATTACAGAATAAGATACGAAAAAAAATTAATTGAATTTGTTAGAAAGAATGAAAAAAGAAAGATGTAAGTAAAAAGATATAATCAAAAACAAAGAATGTGCGGGGTGAAAGAAAGGAAGAGAGCGAAGCAAGAAAAAATGAAGGGGAGAAGAATTAAACAAAGAGCAAGGAAGAAAGGAAGGTGTATGTAAGAAAAAGAGAACAATGAAAGAATTAAGGAGAAAAGTAAAAAAGAAGGTAAAAAAAAAACGAAAGAATAAAAAAGGAAAAGAATAAATAGAGCTGTAAGAATAAAGAGAAATAAAAGAGAGAACGAAGGAAAGAAAAATGCCAGGATGAAACACAAGTTGGAAAGACAAAAGACAACGAAATCAATGGATGAAATGAAATAAAAAGAACAAAATTAAAACTGGAAAAAAGAAACAAAAAGAAAATAAGAGCAAGAAGTGACATGAACATAGCTTAAAAAAGAAAACGAAACAAAACAAAAATAAATATCTCTGAAGAAAAAGAGTGAAACATTTCGGACGAAAAGAAACAAAACAATGTGTAAAATAAAAATGAAGAGATAAACAGAATGAATATACAACATAGGCTATTTTTACAGTGATATTCACTCTGATCAAAGATCCACATCTAATCGAGGTATTGTAAGATGCACAGCTTATGTGGATACGCGAGAAAAGATAACAGTTTACCTACATGAGTAGCTTAAAATTTTAGCGATCTGTTCCACAAAGAAGCAGTTCGTTGGAAGAATTTGCTTGAGTAGAACTTACATCTCACCAATGAATTATGAAGGAAATGTGGCTCGTGAGATAGTAGGGAAGAAAATAATTTGTCTCACATATGGATCCGGAGAAGCTTTTAGACTCGATCGAGAGGGGAAATTGAAAACTGAACAGCTCTTGCTCATAAATAAACTAAGATACATCACTAAACCGGTTATCACAAGGCTCGAAATCACAAAACACATTCGATAAACTCCGAATAGTTATAATTAAACAAAACTACATTGCAGGCTCAGCTTGTCCTAAAGGAAATAACGTATATACGAGGGAGGACCCAAAAGTAACCGGAATTGTGTCATATAATTTTATTCATTTATTGTTGCATGTTTATATTCTTATTACCTTCAAAGTATTCTCCATTTGAAGCAATGCACCGGTCCAGACATGTTTTCCACTGTTCAAAGCAGTCCTGGAATTCTTGTGAAGTTATGTGTTTTTAATGACTCCGTCGTTTTCTTCTTAACCTCTTCCTCATCTGCACAACGTTTCCCTTTGAGGATTTTCTTCATTAGTGGGGAACAAAAATAGTCGCAAGGGGCGAGATCGGGTGAATAGTGGGATTGGGGATGTGGGGTCATATCATACTTGGTCAGAAACTGTCTCACACTCAAGACGGTAAGCGCTGGAGCAGTGACCTGATGCAACCACCACCCTCCATTTTGCTACAGGTCAGGGCGTTTTCGTTTCACCTTCTCTCGAAATCGCTTCAGGACTTCCAAGTAAAAAGCCTGGTTAACAGTTTGATAAGGAGGAACAAACTCTTTGTGGAGAATTCCTTTGACATCAAAGAAACAAATCAGCATCGTCGTAACATTGGACTTCACTTGACGCGCTTTTTGGGCCGTGATAACTTTGGATGCTTCCACTGGCTAGATTTCTGCTTCTTTTCCGGCTCGTAGCCATAGCATCAGCTTTCTTCACCAGTGATGACCTTCGATAAAAGGTCTGGATCAAATTCCATCTCTTCCTTCAGTTTACGGCAGGTATCCATTCGTGACTGCTTTTGATCGTCCGTGAGCAAGCGATGCACCATTTTCGCAGCAACTCTTTGCATTCTCAGTTCCTCAGTCAAAATTCGTTGACAAGAACTCTAGGATTCACCAGTCAAATCAAGAAATTAGGCAGTTGTTCGGCGACGGTCTTTCAAGATCATTTCATGAATTTTCATAATGCTTTCAAATATTCGGGAGGGTGATGTTCGCCCTGAGCGAGGTTGGTCTTCCAGCGACAATTGAT